AGACCAAAATGTCACACAGCGCTGTCAGGGTGAGCTTCGATCACTACGTCATAGGCCTGGGTAACTCAGTAAATTTTTAGGAGTTGGCGCAGTGCCACGCAAATGGCTTGGTGCGCCAACGCAGCGCACCGGCGCAGTAACTCAGCTCATTTGCAAGGAAAATATTGATGACTGTTTGATTGTTTTTAGATGTGTCTTAAGGGCCATCTATATATATAAAATTATCGAGTCACAGTTTTAGTTACCATACTCCTCCAAAATTTTGTATGTATATTCAGTAGGTCTGAGACATAGGTTGTTATCTATTTTTTATACCCTTAAGTGATATGGGTGCTGCCATAAACCCCTATCTTTTAATAGCTATATTAGTAACTCAATAAATTTAAAATAAAATAAAAAAAATCTGAAGTGGGCAAACCGCCCACTCGAAATGAAAAAAAACCCTAGGAATAATTTATATGGCAATACAACGTTTGCCGGGTCAGCTAGTTTATTAATAACATTTTAAAATTTTTTCAAAATTTCAGAATTTTACAGTTTTGGCCCAGTTACTGTTTCTTCTAAATGCTCAATTTTCTAAAGTTCCACTTAAAAATGCTTACATCTTAAGGTATTTTCCGCGAAAAATCATGAGATAAATTTCGAATCCTTCGTCGCTTTGTACAAAGTTTTGAAATCCCTTTCCAGCCTCCAATTTGGAACAAAAATCAAATAATTCTCTACCAAAAAACGAACAGAATAAACGAAAGTTCATAACAGATTATTTGAAAATCTCGTCCATGCCTCTGAAGACTGTAGAGTTTCTTAAAAAATGTGCTTTTTAGTTTTAACTGAATTTTTTTTGCTTTACTTTCTGCTCAAAAGCGCTCTATTTTGTAGAGTTTCACTTAAAAATACTGACGATCTGGAAGTCTTTTACTCGTAAAATTACAAGATAAAAGTAGGCCTGGCGGCGTCAGCCCTTCTAGTTCCTATAGGCTGCGATCTGGACCAAAGAGTGAGGAAACTTGTGAGTTTATCGCTCTTGTTCGTGTTTTTCTACTCTTTCCTGCCTCACAAAGAGCTATGGTTCATCATCTACGTGTTTCCTTTTATGAATGTTGCAGCTGCCACCACTTGCCACCGAATGTAAGTGGGTCATTGAGGAATCGTATGGACAGTGGGTTAAAAACAAGC